ATGCTTTGCAATAGTGATTCGACCAATAGAATCCTTTCGTGACAAAGATGAGCCAAACTCCAATCCAAACCAATGATTTGCAAGTCAAAACCGATGTAATGGTAAAAAGAAGGGCAAAAAGGCATCCAAACATAGACAAAGATCAATGCCTACAGAGTCAAATATCAAGCCCCTTGGATTCCCAAGCCAAGTAGAACAACTCACCTCAAATTACAAGTTGGGCCACTGTCCACACCATCGAAATTGAAAACCAGCAAGAGTTGGTTTCCACTAATAAGGAGACCTGAAGTTAGTAAGTGATTATTTGAGAGTTAAAATGTGAGTGGGTTTTGTGTAAAAAAAAAAAATTATTGGAGTGTTATTATAACACTAATATAGCATTCACTATGGCACTATTGTAGCTTGTTGCAAGTTGTCTAAGTGCACCATAGCACACTTAAGAGTAGTGTAGCGCGCCAATTAGTAGAATTAGCACATTATAACATGATGTAATGGATTTCTTGTGGATTTCCGTGATTTGAGGGGTACACCCACTAATGACTTCGACACCCCCTAGGACATCTTGAATTATAAAAGGAAAACTTGGACACTTATCCAAGGCATTCAAAAATCATTCAACATTTAATCAATCTTAATTCAACACTTAGTCAAAGTTTCTTCAAAGCTTAGAAATCATTCAATACTTGGAAATTTCATACCTGACAAGAATCAATCAGCAATCAACTGATTCAGTTTTTCTTGGGAGAGAGTTGACGAGATCCAAGCTGTTAAAGCACAAAAAGGAATCCTCCATTCCATACTAAGTCATTTGGGTGATACTTACTGATCAAGTATGGATTTGCGACATTCAGCAACCAAGGATCAACTGACATAGGGAAGAAATTTACTTTATTCTTGAGATCTTGTTAGGGATTGGATTAGGATTTTTTAAAACTAATTGTACAAGTATCCTTGGCTTTTTGTTGGTTAATTGAATTCTTTTTTTTTTTTTACAGTTATTCTAGTTGAGTTTGGATCATTATAGAAGTGCATTTTTTCTTGTTTATACTTTCTATATGCACATATAGAATTATTGATGTTGACTCACAAAGCAAGAATAAATAAGCAAATGCACGTTAAAACTGGGACTTTATTGAACCACTGGAAAACATGTCAGCTATTCATTTCAATGCATTCACTAGAAATGGCTTTCTAGATCTCTTTCATCTTGTTCAGTTTTTTATGGTCCTATCTAAATGTTTGAACTCTTTAACAAGAATATGAAAGCATATAAATGTAGTTGACAAACAATAGAAATCACATTTCTTGCTTATATTCAGTACTTAGTCATAAGAAATGTTTCTTTGACATGAAGTTAAGATTCACGTTGAACTAAAATTTAGATTTAGTAGATAATTAAGAATGGCCAAATGTAGGTAATCAGTAAACCACATGATTCAATTTGTTACTAATATTTTGGTACTTTTCCACTTTTCCTAATTGGTTTTCCTCTTTATTTTATTTGGATTTTCAGGTTGTTATTTATCTGCAATATTCATTTTAATGTTGCTAATGATTGTTAGGGTCTTTTGAAGCTTCTTATGTGCTGTACTCTTCCTCTTGCAGAATGGGGGAAAGAAGAGAGTAAAAATAGAGACAGAGAGAATCTCAGAATGCTTGCCAGGATGGATCCAAACCCAAAAAAGTTAAGAAAGGATCCACTTCCACATGCTGTAGTTCCAATAAGCAGAAGGCAAAGGGAGCCGCAAAACCACCTTAATTATGTTGATGGATCTGACGAAGAGGCTGATGATTATGCCTCTGTAGAAAAGCAGCAAGAGAGGAAGATGTCCACTCCTCAACAAAAAAGTGAAGCTAAGACTCTCCGGATCTCCAAAAAAGAGTTGAAGAAAAGGCAGATGGTAAGAATTGAATAGTATTGATTATAACAAAATTTAGAACATCAATTAATACATTAATCGAGAAATCTACCGTTAAAACTATTCTTTTTGACAAGTGTGCTCATTTGTTTCTCAAGATTTGAACAATATTTGATCTCCTATTCTTCTCTAAAATAATAATAATAATAATAATAATAATAATACACTTTACTTGACTAGGGTATCCTGCAGAACTCTAATGGTTCTTTTTTGTTTTCAAGATAATAATTAGTTTCTTCCATTTCCTCTTTCTATGGGTTTGTACACTTTAACTCCAACTATAAATACACATCGTTTATTAGATTTTAACAGAAGACCTAGAGTTATAAAATGAGATTCAAATGGATTGAAAATCCATTGAACAAAAAATTTGATTAAACCTTAGGTGGCGTATACTACGATAAAATCTTATTGAGTGAATAGGAATGGAAATGATAATCTTAAAAATATGCATTTGATAGATATTTTGAAATAGAAATCTTCATTCCTTAAAAAATGAAAATTCCAAATGAGGGAATCCAAATGAGGGAATCCGGATTCCATTCCTTGATGCAAACCTTATTTAAATATAATTATCATAATATCATTTACTTTTTAAATAGATGACAAAAATATTTTATAAACATAAAAAATTATAAGTATTTTATAATATTATATATTATATATATCTATTATAATATAATAAATTGTATAATATGATTATATATTATCTATATCTAGTATAATATAATAAATTGTATAATATGATATATTATATTATATATATTATATAATTTTTAAAATTTATATAATATAAATATATAACTTATTATATATATACATACAAATACACATACATATGAATTTAATATTTTAATGTTAGAATAAAAAATTAATTTTTAAATTTTTTTAATATGTTAAGAATATATTAAAAATTAATTTTTTAAATTTTTAAATTCTTATAACAAAGGGTATTTTTCTTTTTTACTTTCCTATCTCTATTCTAACATACCAAACATAATGAAGGAATAGGAATCTTCATTTTATCAGTGTATACCAAATATACTCGTAAGAATCCTAATTCCATTCTATTCCATTACATTCTCATTCCCACTCCTATTCTCATTACATCAAAAATCATTTTATTGTACCATACACTATCTTAATTTTTTTTCTTCTTCTTGTTCTTATTAATAATATTTATTCTAGGATTTAGATCTTAGTGTATTTGTCAATATTGTCTTATATTTAACTAATATATTACTGTATTTAGTTGAGCTTGACACAAGTGATTAGATTATCTGCCTTCTATCAATTGTATTTGAGGTGGTTGGGTTGAGGGTGACTTTCTTACCTTATTGTTTCATTGATTGAGGTGATTGGGTCGATGTTGCGTCCCCCCAATTCACCCTCATTGTAAATATTGAAGGCAAAGTAGTTGAGGGTGTCTCCTTATTTTAAAACTAGAAAATTGAGATGGTTGGATTGACATATATTCCTCACTTCACTCTTATATTTTAGAATTCCCTTAATACTCGAATAAATTTAAAAAATTCATTTCATAACTGTGATATCATAAAGGTTTATTAACACCCGTAAAAAGTTTAATGATTCACTTAGTACAAGAAAGATGTGAAAATTTACTTGCACCTAATTAACATAAGGTGAATATTTGATTCAAACCTCTCAAGGATCTCAAGAATAAAATGTAGGTATATATTGAGTTTGAACTGAAGCCATATAAATTTTGGTCTTCAATCTTTAATTTTAACATATTATAATACATAGAAAATATGTTGTACTTGTTGTTAATAGATTAACTTATTATAATTTGTAAAGCTTGACGGTTGCATCCATTTACTTACCCTCCTGATCAAGCGCAGCTTGGACCAACAGAGAGTTAACATATGACACCTATAAAAAAATGCATAAAATATATTTTAGCAATACTTACAATCATGAATTATGGTGCTAACTGGATACACCTGAAGAGTTGATTTTTTTGAATTTTTGGTTTATTAGTTTTTTTTCATGTAGAATGACACAATATAAAAAATAGCAAACACCTAAAACATTAGGATTTTAATTTTATTAGTTTCTTTAAACTCTTTTGAGCCTCTTTTTTTTTTTAAATTCAAATGGAGTATTTATAAGGTAGTGAGAAGTAGTCAAAAATACATTTTTTAAAATTTTTAACATTTGCATATGAAATTGTTTTAGATAACAAAACTTTTTTAAAACAAACTGCACCCCATAAAAATTTAAATTTTTTTAATTAGCAGAAAAGCTAGAAATCCAAAAATCTAAAGAAAAAAATGAATGTTACATTTTTTTTTCTTCTTTATCATAAGTTTGACATCCAACAAGTAATGCATTCGCCTTTTATGAATTCGATTACAACTTATTTGAATAGTTCTGCTTAAGTTGGAATATAGGTTTAACCAAGGGAAGTTTGAGAAAAGTTGGCTTATTTTCAAAAACGAAACCCCATTTCAAAAAGTTAGTTTATTACTCTTGAATATGCCAATATAGGAAAGTGCTGACAAATTAGACAAAGAATCAGACCGACAATCAAGGAGGGTGAAGTGGAGGGCCATCGGAAGCAATGGGCAACTTGATCCTAAAAAGTTAACTTTATTATACCTTTTATTGGATTATTTTTTGATTTATATTCAAACTCTAATTATTGATTAAAATCATTGATTCTCCCTCTTTTTGAATGGTCATACTATGCCCTATTTGTCTCCGTTTTTACCATATTACCCTTGCTCCCTCTCATTCACACATTTTTGGACTCGGGGTGCTGAAGGACAAAACGGTATTTCAACGTAACAACAGCTGCGGAGCGGGACCCCTGTAGAGAGGCTTAATTGCCGTGGGGCAGGGAAGCTTATTTAGCCGTTACACCTTCGCTCCGTTATGCCAGCATGGAGTTTCAATTTAATATCTACATCTATATATATATATATATAACATCATCCTTGACTTTTTGAAAACCAGTCGACCGTTGCTATCTTCCCCGTCAAGACGCTTAATCTTTCTAGCAGATTACAAACCTCTGTGTTGTGATATTCATAGTTATTCATAATATCCTCTTGCTAGAAACAAGAAGAAGACACCCATCGGCGACAATGGCGGCTGATCTAATGTTCACTGAAGACGAGATGGCGGTTGACGAAGGCCTCGGCTACCCCAAAGCCTACGCGAAGCTCTGCAGAGGTCGCAGCGTCAGTCCATACAGCCATGGCCCTCCCTTCACTTTCGTCCCTTATGCTCTCTCTCAGAATGAGGTAAATATCCCCTCCTTTTTCTCTTTGTTCGATGAGAAAACCATGGAAGATTAAACGTTCATGACAGTTCGAGCTAATTAAGTTTTTGTTTGTTAAAATGCCTGAATGAACTCAGCTCACGTTGGGTAAAGAAGCATATTTATATCAATAGACAGTCAAAGTGAGGAATTCTGGCAATGATCTCTGAGGCTCTTTTGAATTCTTAGAATTCTTGTGGTTTTGTTTTTGATTGATGCAAAATCGCTTAGATTTGTGCTAGCTGTTTCCTTTATTTTGATTCTTTGGAATTCTCGGAATTTTATGGGTTAGGGTAGATTGAACTGAAATCATGCCCGTGTGCAGCTATAATCAGATGCACATACCTGCACATGTATATGATTTTGACGTTTCAGGAAATGTTGAATTCTGGAAATGGGTCTGTTTCCTTCATTTCGGTTCTTTTGAATTCCCAGAAATTTTGTGGGTTTGTGCTGATTGATGCGAAATCATGTAACGTGTGCTAGCTATATACATATACGCATATAAAAGCACATTTCTATGCTCTTGATTGGCTTTGGAGAGTTATAATTTCTGGCCGTGAACTCTCTTTCCTTCTTTTAGATTCTTTTGAATTCTGGGAAAATTTATGGGTTTGTACTGATTGATGCGAAATCATGTGACTGTAGGTTCTGAGGGCAAAAGACTTCGATGAGATGTTCCCAATTGTCAACCCAAACGCAATGCCAACAGCCAAGCCCAAGATTTTTGTCAGCCTCATGTGGAAACAACTAAGCCACCTTGGGTAAATTCATTGAATTATTTATCCATAGAGCTATAGAATTTTGTGAGTTTGAGATCTGAAAATCTTACTAACTGTTTTGATTTGTATTTTCTTTTATGTTTTCTTCGTCACTTTTACTTATTTTTGAAAAAGTAAACACTGAGAATTTTGAAATATCTTTTGTTTTAATTTTCAAGCGCAAATAGTTCCTATGAATTTTGAAAACATAGTTTCTGTTGCTTTCTAGGAATGGGTATGTTTTCTGAAAATAGTTTTTGAAAACAACCTCTCAAACAGATATTCTGCGTTCAGAAACAACTCCAGACATTTTGACTCTTATTTTATTTTGACAATTTTTAGGAATGCTGGATTTGACCCTGCAATATTTCGGGTGGACCCGTACGGCAATGTCCTCTATTACCATGCTGATTCAGCTTCTCCTCTTGCTTGGGACATAGATCACTGGTTCCCTTGCTCAAGTAATCATCTGTTTGGTTTAATTGGATCCATTTATCGAGGATATGCCATTATTTACTTGCGAAAACATTTTTTTTCCGGGGAATGCAGGGGGAGGATTGACTGTTCCAAGCAATCTGAGGATATTGCAGTGGCAAGTGTGCAAGAAAAAGCATGACAAGCTGGAATTTCTCATACCATGGTGGGATCTTCAAGTGGGAATTTCCATCAACCAGTTCCTGTCCATCTTCGCTTCTTCAAACTCGGATTTCAGGTGAATCTATTTTCCATATAATCTCATTTTGGAAATGCTGCTTAGGTGGCTTTTCTAGGGGGAAGAAACTAACTCATTTTTTTTTCACAGGCATAGGGCATTTTCGCTGTTGTTTAGTGAGGGAGAAAATGAAGAACTCAATGCTTCACAGACGGTGGACTCGCATATTTTCCCACAGCACTTCAACGAATCTACAAAAAAAGTAGGCCTTGCTCCAGCTGCCATTGTTGTGTCTAAACGAGAAGCTTTTGATGCTTCATCCACTCTAAAATCTTTAGATATGAACAGAAGACCTAGGTCAAACTCCCCTATAATCGGTTAGTAGAGCAAGACCCACGACTTTGTCTTGATTTAATTTAGTCTTCTGACTTTTAAGGATTATATATTTTTACCTTTGAATCTGAAAGTCTGAAAAAGCCAGAAGCTGGGGTTTGAACTTCTATACTTCAGCCTGAAAGGTTTTGAAATTTTGTCTTTGGTTTTTTCAGCTTTTTAGGCTTAAAAGAACATGTAGTCACCAGAATCTATCTCTTGATCTGCAAATAAATTTTTCAAATGATTTTGACAGCTGCAAGAAAATTTAACTCAACCACCTCAAAAGAGAATGCTAACCCCGACATGGTTAGCAACCCATATCAGGCAATTGTCATGGCCAGAGATTCACTGAGGCAGAGAGAAGAAACAGCAAAAATGCAGGCAGAGATACAAAAATTAGATGAAGAAATGAATCAACTGAAGCAGAAGGCTGAAGAGGAGAAGGTCAACATCCAAGAGCTAGAGTTGGTACTAATAAAAAGAAGAAGACGAGCTGAGAAGTGCCGACGCCTTGCAGAGGCACAGTCCTCATACAGGACAATGCTCGAGAAAATGATCAGAGATGCTATGCACCAGTAAGAATGATAATTGTCATTGTTCTTCTGTACACTGCTTTATTTCATAAAATGTTTATGTTTTTCCTTTAACTGCAGGAGTGTGATATACAAGGAGCAAGTGAGGTTGAACCAGGCAGCAGCCAATGCCTTGATGGCAAGACTTGAAGCCCAGAAAGCAATCTGCGACTCAGCAGAGAAAGAACTCCACAGAAAATTCAAACAAAGGGATGAGATAGAGAAGCAGATAAGGCCTGAGGGAGAGCAAGGAAGGAAGAGATCAAGAGTGGAAAATTCAGCATTGGAAGAGGAAGATGATAGCGCTGTCCTGTATTTACCAGGAAACAACTTGCGAAAGGAAACCGGAACTGCTTTATTGGAAAATGAAGGAAATAAGACAGTCCTGTGTTTACCAGGACCTGATTCAGAGGCACCTTTACGAGGACCTGGTTCAGGGGCACCTTTGCACAAGGAACTCAGGGTTTTCTTGGAGGAGGAGCAGAAAGCATCCGAAGCAGGCTTATCTCAGAACCAAGAGCAGAAACAAGAGGAAATTGAAAAGGCTGGATTAGTAAATAATCTTAACAACGAAGGCATAGTTGGAGCACAGGATGAAAACCCAATTCAGGCAAAGCTTCAAATGCTGAAAATGGGAGATGAAGTAGAGATTGAGGAGGATGAAGAAAGCAGAAGGAAGAGAGGGAAAGGAAATGTAGAGAGGTGGCTGCAAATGCTGCTGGAGAACACACCAGAAGGTGATAACCTGAATCTAGAAAACATTGACTATGACAAGATCGGTAGAACAGATGAAATACCAGAAGGTGATAACCTGAATCTAGAAAACATTGACTATGACAAGATCGGTAGAACAGATGAAATAGTCAGAAAGATGAATCTCAAGTATCCGCAACAGGAAACCAAAGCTTCAGGACTCCCAGAATCTCAAGGCCATGGGGAAGATGTTTCAAAATGCCATCACGAAGAAGAGATAATTGAGATTGAAGGAGGTATTACGCCCATTAAAAGCCCTCCTTACAAATTACCCAAAGAGAAAAGCAGGGTCCACGAAGTGGGTACTCCTGGCAAGAGAGTAGAAAGGAGGAGAAGCAGCTTTCAGGGAGAGGAGAAGAAGGAGAAGAGCGGGAAGGAAAAGGGGCTTGTGAGGTCTGAGAGTGCGAGGGCATTCCGGCGAATCCCATCTTCTCCATCTCTAATTCTGGGAATGAAGAAAGGAGTGGATTGCATTAGGAAGAGGCCCTCAGTAATTGGTGATGACGACGGTGAGAACAGTCCCGTGTCAGGGAACAACTTCATCAAGTCCTCAATCAAGACAATTAAGAGAGCAGTGAAGATATGAGTTTATAGTCACAATATATAGTATTTCGTTATTTTATCATTCTTTAAGGAATATTATAGCTGTTTCAGAGAATAATTGTGTGATTTGTTAAATGTACTGTGCTTGGCTTGTGTATAAAGTACTTGACTGTAACTTGTATGCAATAACAGCCTGTGTCAGCTGAAGGTCCATTGTGCAGTTTGGACGTTGCCTGTGTTAATTTTCTCTTAAAAACTCAATTGTTTTAATAATACGAAGTGTCATTTCAAGCTAATACATTATCTTAAAATTCTGCAAATGGCTTTTCTTCCTCAAATTGGCCTGTTGTCTGGAAATTCTCTTTCACGGTTTTGAAAATTACACAGCAAGCCTTTTTTTTTTTTCTGAAAGGCGATACCGCTTCTAAAATGCAAATCCAAACTGGCTTGGGTTCTAATGTTTTCTCTAATTATTAGGAATCAAGTAACTCAAATGCCATAACAAGAGGCTTGACAGCCAGAACCTTCGTCGTGACATTTCTCAGCTATATTTTAGCTTCCAAATCTTTTCTTGGCAACCGTTTGTTAAGATAGAGGGAGGGGAAGGTGTGAAATGGTAAGAAACATGCATATTACATAGCATCTTGATGGGAGGTCGTACAATTGACAGGAATACACATCAAGACTAGTTTCGTGGTTGGGTGGGTTCAAAATTGACCTTTGGCGAAACGCGAGAGAGGGAGAGAGAGAGAGAGAGAGATTCTTGAAGGTATAATCCCTTCCAACAAGGACCCCATAGTCGATTTTCTGGCATGGATAGTCATAACATATCACTAGTAAGCATGAAAGGAGGAAATTGACCTCTCTCTCTCTCTCTCTCTCTCTCTCTCTCTCACACACACACACACACACACACAACCAACCATTCTGAGTCCTCATTCATTTGCAACAGAGCCAAAAACAAACATATATGGCCGTATGGCAGCCTAAATTCCAACAGGAACTCAAATAGAAGAATAGAATTAACTCATCTATCATGGAAAAAGGACTTATAACTAGTGTCATGACCAGCTTGGTTCAAATTATTTTCTACAAAGAAAGCAAAACCATGCTGCCAACAAGGCCTAATTATTTTCTATAAATAAAGCAAAATCCTACTACCAACAAAGATACCTATTTGATACCTTCCAAGTTCCCTCACTTTTTCTTTTTTTTTTTTTTTGGGGGGGGGGGGGGGGGGGCGGGCCTTACCACCATTTTTGCAGGCAAAGAACAGATCATTTTATATGTTGGGACGAGTTGAGGGCTCAGGCGAAATGCCTGGCGAGTCACCTCCTGTGGGATTCATCGCTGGCCCGCTCACAAGAGAGCCATTCCCACTTTCCTTTTCTGGCACAACAGGGATTCTCACTGCTGCTTGTTCCATCTCCTTCTCAAGCTCTTCTTCCTGACGCAATGCAGTAAACTGGGTGTCCAAGGACTTGGCTGCTGCTAACCATGCAAGAACAATCACCAAAAGTACCCCACCAAGGTAAGGAGTAGAGTTTGCAAGAGACCCAAAAGTTAAGATCATGAATTGCTGGATCAGAGCACCTCCAGACTTTCCCAGCGGGTTGCAGACCACATCAATGGCAGCCTTTCCTTTAACCTAATGTAAGGAAAATAACAGACTAAGTTCGAGTTGAAAATGGAAACAAACCACAAACTTCTAGATAAATTTAAGTCAATCACTTGTCTGTTTGCCTTTTTTTTTTTTTTTTTTTGGCTTATCTGTTTCAATTTTGTGTGTTTTCAAAAACTGAAAATCTGGATCGGTTACATTTCAAATAAAAATAGTTTCATGGGATTTTGAAGACACCTTTATGTTGTTTTCTAAAAGGTACATGTTTCTTAAAAATAGATCCAAAAAAACCTTCCCACCACAACCAGGCCAAACAGTTTTTCAGCTTTCAAGAACATATAGTTTTCAAATTTAAGTCAAAACAAACCACAAACCTTTGTTTCCTCGTCTAAAGGAATATAGGCCATCTCCTTGCAAGGATCAAACAAGCTGTATTTTGCACTCTTGCTGAATATATTCTGCATCGCACCCACATAAACAGCGGCTAGAAGTGGAGTCATCCCAAACTTCGCAAGAGCAGGTGCAAATGGATCGCCAAACAAAATTAGAGAAAAGAATCCAACTCCTGTGAGAAGTAAGACTGTGGGTGTGATCCTGGCTGCGACTCCCCAACCATACTTATCAAATATCCATTGGCTCAGCAACATCATTGTAAAAGTCATTATACCAGTTGCAGTTGAGAAGTCACCCATGAAAGAAGAGTACTCGTTGGGGCTTGGGAACTGCAAAATTTAGAGCAATCACATCAAAAACACACAAGGACACAAACAAGGTAACAAAAATTCATAAGCAAAATAAATGAATTCAAAAAGTCCAACTTAGTTTTACCTGAGCTTTGAGTTTCGATTTCCATGTAACCTCAACAAGGTTGATACTAATTCCATAAGCAACAACCAAAGTGGCAAGATCCCTAACATATCTAGACGAAACCAAGAACTTCAAGCTCTCCATTGTTCCCATTCGTGGTTTTTCCTGCCAAGAGATTAATTCTTTCTCATGTAACTTTTACTTGATAAAGCTACTAGATTGTCTAAAAACTACAAACATTAAACATGTGCACGTTATAGATGAAATTTTTACTCTAAACCAATTTGGTGGGTTCTGAAGGTAGGGAAACTACAAATTATAAGAATAAAAAATAATAAGATGGATCCACATTCACCCCAAGTAAAAGATATTTTATAGAATAACATGAGAATATTAGTTTCCCAGTACCAAAAATGACAAATGAAATTCACTAAAGAAGAGCAGCCAGTTATCAAGGCAACATTTTGGCACCAGACAAACAACTATACAGGGAAAATGATGGAGACTGCTGAAATATAAGAAGTAAAATACTCGAGGATTACCTTCTTCTTCTTACTTCGTGATGGAAGAGGAACATTATGATTCGCCCACCAGTAAAGAAAACAGATTGCAAGCCCCATCAGCACCACAATGCTCATCATTGCCTTTAATGAGAGGGCCCAACCATCAACTCCCGGACCCAAATTTTTTCTCAAATTGGAGAAATACTTGACAGTTCGGCCTGAGAAAATAAGGGCAATATTGGCACCAAGTCCAAAGAGAGGATAGAATCTTTTGGCTTCCTCAACCGTTGTAATCTGCAAAAGAAGCATACAAATGTTAACTGCAATACAAACATGTAACAGTATAGAATCTCTTGCATGTTTAATGAAAAATGTAGAACTTTCATTACTCTCAATGAAGCCTCCCCCCCCCCCCCCCCAAACAACATGGGAAAATGTAAAATTTGGTGATTCAATTATATATATTTTGTTTCCATTAAGGAAATTGAAAGGACAAAGCAGAGATAACTGCATATGCATAATCACCTTACCATGCCCCAACCCCAAACCAAAAAAAGAAAGCATAAATTTTTTATAAGACAAAACTAGTTTACATGATATTACCCATTGGATTATTGCCATGGTAGAAGCACGTGGATTTTATAAACATAAGATGTGACAATACCCAATGCTTGCTTAAGTTGCCAAATAATGTATGGTAAACATATACGTGGCAGAGTGCCTGCCAATTTCAATCCCTTTGGTATGAACCTATTGGTAAATGTATTGGCAAAATGTTATAAATTGATCACCAACATTTTCCTACTCATTTACTATCATGTGAAAGTGGATAGGGATTTGATTGCCACAAGTTATCAGATAATGAAGCAGGAAGATTAATAAGATAAGATTAGTTGAGGATTTTTCTTTTAACACAAATACACTGCAAAAGTAAAACATATACAGAAAAAAATCCCATCTTATGTGAGATGAATATATAAATTTATGTCATATTAGCCAAAAAAGGGGTAGAACAAGATGACACAATTGAGTAGAATTGGATCACAAGGTTTTGCATCAGAATACAGAAAGATGGTTCCACTTCCATTGTTTCTTAATTACCTTGAAACAGTATGACAAAACTAGTTCCTCGACCCCTTGGAGTGAGGTTAATGTCGTCATATATCATTCATTGATGGGCAAGTTGCCCCTTCAAGCACCCAAAACAGTCTACGACGTGTATGGAAAATAAACTATGAAAACTACGAGTAATCTATAGTGCTGAAGGATTAATATAATTAGTTATTTGACGAGGGAACCACAGGTAAATAACATTGTATACCAAAAATTAGTCACACTGTTCGGCTGAAACCAGAAAGTTAGAAAAGCAAAGCAACAAAAATTAATTACAATATTGGAATCACCACTCAAAAAGAATATAATAAGGATGAGAGCACGGTTCGTGTACGCAAGAAGTGTTTTTCTAGGATTTAATAATTCATATACTGCGATAACATCGTATACTAAGCCAAAGAAAAGCAAATCCCTTCCATTTCCCTGCAATCCATAAATGAGCGAGACCAACAGGTTCATATATAATGTATTTACATAAAAGAATCTCATAAAACAAATCTATTGAATTCAAAAAACTATTATCATCTCTGGAAAATCCCACTTCATAGCACACTTTAGGTATATCCACTTCTTAAAGTAAAACCACCTGGAACCCTCTACTTCAGACTGGACAGTGAAAATTTAGCGTCAAACATCAGAAAATCAAATCAAAACTCGAATCAGAAGTTATAAGCTTATAAGCAACCATAAAAGATATAACAGCGGAAAATGTTTTCAAGGACTAGATTTTCACCTGATTGGCAAATCCCCAAAACAGCACAGAGATCACCACGCTGCCCAGAGCTCGGCCATCACATAGAACAGACAGAAACTCCATATCCTTATAATTGCAAGTGGCCCCTGGAACCTCGGGCCAAGCATGGCTAGAAGCTTATCAGCAAGAGCTGTGGGGTGGAAGTAATGGCTGAGAGGATACAGAACAAACCCAAAAGCCCCAAAGAAGGCAATAAAAGGAACTATAACGGAGTAGAAGAGAGCCCGCTTAGACAAAACGTTGGCTAATTTAGTGTATAACAGCATAAAACCAACAGCCATGGGCAAATTCACCCACGTCTTCAAGAACGGTATAATCTCAGCGCTAGATCCTTTCGCAGTCACCACCAAAACATCCTTCGTGTCTCTAAGAATTGTGTAGTTGAAAAGTATACAGAAAAACATTAAGCCAAGTGGTATAATCTTCTTTAGGGTCACAATCTCAATACCATAAATTTGGGCGACTCATTTTCAGAAAAATCAGCAGCAGCAGCAGCAGCCGCCGCCGCCGCTGCCTCGGCTCTGCAGATTTGAAATTTTCTGTTTGTTTGATAAATCCCCTGAGGTTTATTCAAAAACCCTTGAAATTTTGAGAACCCATTCAGGGTAGAGCAAATCCATCAAGGGGCTTGGGTTTCAAAGGCTGGAATCTGAGCCTGAGCCCCTGTGGTTGTGGTGAGCTGAAAGGTCTAGGTTTGGGATATGAAGGGAAAGAGAGAAGCCCTTTTGTTTGCAGAACTGCCTGCATCTCTATCTCTCTCTCTCTCTCTCTCACCTTTAAGAACCAAAGAACTGGAATTTTTAAGAGCAGAACATGAGAGAGAGGACAAGAGGGATAAGGTGTAGGGTAGAAGATTGTTTTCTCACAGAAAGTGCCTGCGCTGCACGTACAAATATCTTTTATATATCAGGTAGAGAGCTATAAACCCGTATGAGGTTTGCCAGGACAAAAATGGATACCAGATAAAAATCTCAATTAAAAAAAATCCAAGACAAATTCGCGGCTTATGGCAATCCTTGAATTTGCAACAAGAAGGAGCTCAATTTACTTCTCTAAGGATGTATCCAGAGGTAAATCACTCGGACTAACAAGAGAAAGGAATTGAAGATGAGTTAGGGAAAGCGCGAGGAAAGTAGGATCTGAGGAGAGAGAAGCAGTCAATCCACGAAAACGTAGCGCAAATCTGCGCCTAAATATGCAAGAGAATGATGTGATTCAATTACATAAAGACCATCGTATTATGCCCAAAATACCCTAATGGTTGAATGACTAAAGTATCCATTAGATATTTTGTACGCAGGAATACTAATTTTATGTGCTGGATTCTAGTGTAATAGGGTGCATCAGACTAGCGTTGGGTACTTTGCCATCTTTGGAAGTTAGGTCTGAAAGGGTTGGAGCTAACGTCATCAATACACAAAATGAAAAAAATGTCCTTAACTTTCACAATTTATTTTATATTTTTAATTTGACATTTCATTTTAATTTTTTCATAGCATGACAACTTTATTTTCAAATCTGACATATCCGAGATTTAGTAAAGTGTGGCATTAAAAGGATTGTGTAGCATGTAAAAAATTTTAAAGAAAGATATATTATAAATAGGTTGGTGACCATGACATCACAGTAAAAAATATTTAAAAAATTAATTTCAAGCCTAAAAGACATTTCGAAAATCTTGCCCAATTTCTAGTCGGTAACGCGCTATCAAGGAGACACCCCTAGCGAGCCACCTTCCCCATCTAACCTTCTCTCTTTTTTCATCTTTCTCAATCTCTTGGTAGATACAAACAACCGGGTACGAGAAGAAACTACTTAGACCCATGAATAGTTCCTTATTCATATTGTGTATAAATTATTTATGCATGGAGATTTGTAAAAATAGGATAAGACACTGACTACCTTGGTCAAATATATAATTGTTAGAATCGAAAGAATACGGATTACCTTGATCAAAAATATAATTATTAATATCAAAATGATAAAAATCATAAGGACGTAATATTTTTGTCATAAGTCTTAATTGATGTAATACTCCTGTCATAAGTCTTAACGGAGAAATAGTAATAGAAAGATTGCAAATGCATGGCAATTATGAATGAAATTGGTTCATCCATATTGCTTTCACTAATTTATGGAATTTTCAGGAGCTTGTTGTAAGAAACCGACCTTAAATTATTGGTATTCTTAATTTAATATAGATTAAACCAATAATGGTTGATTGAAAAAATTCAATTAACTGAAACATGCTACTAAAATATTGCAAGGGTTGTGAGTCCACTACTAACTAATCATTGAATTCAAGGGGTTGCGTACAAAAATCGACGAAGCTTATATCACTTGATGGGTTTTATCCAAGAGTTAGACAAATCTCTTAGTTAATGAAATTAGTAAATTTAAGAAGTTAAATAAGTTAATCTCAATCAGAGCTCAATTGGTTTAATACATACATTTGACTCATGATAATTGTAATAGTTGGAAAGGATCCAACCTCAAATGGAAAAAGGAGATAGATGGATTGGGGTTTAATATACCAATGCCAGTTATCTCATTTTAGCCTAAAAATTTAGTTCAAAGAGTTGAACCGTGCAGTGAACCGAGACCAAACAGTTGAATATTTTGCCTTAATTATGGTTTTGCAGTCCAAGAAGTTAGATAGGTTTTGACGTTCAGTCTAAACTAGTGTGTTTTGGCTCAAACAAGTTTGAAACCAGCCGATTTAGATTGGCACCTTGCTGCACTACTTCTTCTCTTGCATATTTGATACATATCCCTTCCCTATTTGGTGCAATCGAAAACATGAACATAGATCAAACAATAGAAAAGGCTCTTGCTTAGTGTGTTCTTCATCTTCCCCTCTTCATCTTCAACTTTCCCTTATAAATAGGACACGCAAAACATAGAACAAGAGACAGGAGAGAAGAGAGAGGTAAAAACTAGTTGTCTTCTATGAGCTTCAGTTAACCAAAATCCAAGTGATTGACAGAGTTCCAACGAGTCCAACATAGTTGAAACTTTATTGAGCAATCAGCGTGTGAACTAACTCAGAAGTTGGATGCATGTGGATGGCTCAGGGGCTTAATTTCTAGCTTAATTCAGTGTGATGCAAATGCAGTGCTATCAAATGATGTGAGGCCTTTGAAGTCTTTCATTCCCTACTTCAGTCAGAAGTTTTGAGGTAATTCACTTGTCATTTCTCTTGTGAGTCGGAATAATTTTATTTCTTCCCGGGAAGGCCTAGCCACTTGTTTTCTTCCACTCCTAATTGCATTGCTCAATTTGGCCAACCGTCCGGTACACTGAAAAATAAACCTCTTTCCAACTCACACCTACTATAGCCATAAATTCCTGGAATCATTATCTCCACTAATCATATAAAGCATTCATCTCTTATCAAAGAGTCATAGATCCTTTGTTGATGATACATCAAGCTCCATGTGATAGTCGCTATACTCAATCACTATCTTTAAATTCAGCTCTGGTTAAACCTCACTTTAGTAGTGTCAAGATATAGTAATCATCATAGAAAACTAGAGTGATTGTATTAGGCCAGAGGAACATTTGCACCACCACAATGAGAAGAAATGTCATTGACACCGTGACAATTTGGTGTTTTATACATGGTTAGTGCAGTGAGCACATTCTCTAATAAACACTTATGCATTTAATATTTCCACACATGTGATCTTCAGAAAGGCCACCCTCAACATTTAGGTATAATACATTATTATTTGTCTAGATCATTAACATTCAATTAATAATTTTATAATAGCAAACATTTAGAGATGGAACTTACAAGTGAGAACTCATCCTCCAATGTCATCATGTGCATTCGTTACTGTTGCACCTCATAGACTTGTATCAAGGTTGTTGTAATAATGAAGACGAGGAATACACTAATAAGTATAGCACAATTGATAATAAAATATAGAATACTATTAAGGTGAAATTTTAAAAGCATTTAAGTATTACGTATTCCTACAATAACTATGCATGAACATATGTTTAGTTGCATATCATTTGAAATGGAGTACTGTATTATATGTAGTTATATGATATATGCATTTGGATAATGTCATATGCATTTGGATAATGTCATGATGTTCATAGAGAATGTTGTCATGCATGTATCTGGATTTTATAAGGTTTAAGAGGAGGATGGCGGTAATAGTATGTATGTAAATGATAGAGAGAGAGAGAGAGAGAGTTTGTGGTTGATGAAAATCTTGTATAGATACATTGTAAAAAGAAGCAAATTACTTTTGAGAGACAAATTGTTAAGAGGGAGAGTCAGAAAACTATAAAGCCAAACCCCTCACTGTGAAACGCGGGGAGAATCAAGCAGATATTAGGGGTGGGTCTAGAAATATCAAAAATTTTAAATTTTTAGAGATTTTTGAACTTGATATAGTTGTGGATTACATAATATATAATTATGTAAAATGGTGTTTGTACTTGACATGAGCAACACATTGTATTATAACTATGCAATAAATACACACATACACGCATACATGTATAGAAAATTTTGAGAGAGAGACAGAGAAGAAAATCAAAATTTGGGACAATCCAGAAGATGAATTCGTCGGGGAAAGAAAGAAAAATTTTGGGACGATCCGTCGGGAAAGAAAGTAAATTTTTGGGAAACCCGATTCATCTTCCGGGTTGTCCCAAAATTTTATTTTCTTTTCTCTCTCTCAAAATTTTCTGGAGAGCAATGTATATCTGACAGTGATTCCAATCGTTTTCCCGGAAAACAACTCAACTTTGGTTGTGGCCAGACCAACAAAACAATAGTTGAAGGGGGTTGGTGGAGTCTTTGTCTAGGGCAAGTGGTTAATTATTACTGTTCTCTGTTTCGGGCCGCTTGGCTTCTTGGCTGGGAACGAGGGAATACGTGCGGCTAACAAGTGACCTACAACTCAATAATAATTCTTCGAGGACTACTTGGCCACATTATTAGAAAAGAATAATGTTTCATTGATTAGGCAAGTTGGTATGTTGTGAATGTGCGGTTGGAGCGGTAGAAGGCGCTGTTAAACCTCTGATCTTTGATTAAGAAATTATAACGGAGACACAAGCACCTGTCAATTCAAAACATGGCCACACAGGGAATTTCGTTGACAAGAAGTTTAAAACAACATAAAGTTTTTGATGTGATTCAGCTGTTTGGTTTTCCAAACTTTAGATGAAGGGAAATTTTGTCCTATTCAACTTTCCTTCCATGTAATTTACTTTCTGTAATTATAGAGTGCGCTATTTATTTATTAGAAAATTAATATTATTAAATAAGATAAAAGATACAAGACAAAAATCACACTTGTTTACAATTTGTTCACCTTCCTTATGTAATTATTCAATTTCCATATAGAATTGATATTGCACTGATTCTCTTCTATTTCTTAACAATTTGTTCACTGGTCGATGAAGGAGAAATGGTGACTTTGTGACGACTCAATAAACGGTGAAAGATAAATATATTTAATTATAGTGCTTAGTTAATAAATAATAAATTTCTTAAATTAAATAAATTTAAAAAATTTTAAATGTTTGATTTTTTAAAAAAACTAACATAAAAAATTTTATAAACAAATATTAAATTTATTTTATTTTATTTTTACAACTTATACATCATAATTTATAATCAAACCATAATTTAACTTAATTTTTAAAAATTATAAACCACAAAATATGTTTTTCTTGTACTTAAGTATCAAACCCAAGCAGACCATATCACACACCCCTCATACCTAATACCTGTCAAGGCAGCGAAGGATTTGGTATTTTTGTAATTATGAACATTTATGATTAAACAAACAATAAACGATAATGGCCTAACACTGGCTATTTGAAAGGGCGTCTAAAAATTATATATTTTTAGATGCAATGATAAATATATTAGTGGTTTTGTCTGACACACACATATATATACGATAAGTGATCAATTAATATCAGTATAAGTATAAAAAATTTATATCAAATTTTACACTGTTAATTTGGTCAAAATTAAAGAATGAAATTAATTATAATTGTTATCAAATAACTTTAAATAACTAATTTACAGTTACAGTTGTTTTCAAATAATTTTCAATAATAATATTGTAGTTATTTTCAAATAATTTTTAATAACTAATTTATAATTATAATTATTTTTAAATAATTTTTAATAACTAATTTACAGTTATTTTTTAATTAATCTCATCCATTAATTTTGAATCAACGGTGTAAAATTTAATATAAATTTTTTATACTTACACTGATATTTATTAATCTTTTATATATATATATATATATATATATAACAAAAGCAAGCTATTTGGCCTCTATTCAAATAGAATAATGCCAAGATATGCCATGTATAATAAGGTTG